CCCTGCGAACATCAGGAAATCTTTTTGATATTTTATGTTTCACAAAAGACAACTTTATATTCCTAAAAAAGAAACAATATTCATAAAAGACAGCTTCTATTCTTGTTTAATTCTGTTCCTTTCTTCTTTTTTTTTACCGAAGGTCTGCTGTCTTTTATATCCCACAGGAGATTATTTCTAATTATACTCCAAGCAGAATAAGAAAAATATGGTTTGTCATTTTTGAGTTAAGTGAATTAACAGAGTGAATTAACAGAAGTGCTTACACCAGCCGCTCCCTCTAATTTAACAGGCCAATAGCAGCAGCTATGCATGATACAGGTAAAAAGAAGATAAAATCACAGTGTTTGACTGATTTCAAATTCACGCCTTAACCTTACATTATATAATACCTTATTTAGGTAACATAAAAACCCATTCCAATAATTTTTTACTGTCCAGGTCCTCCAAATGGCTGAGCAGATTTGGTTGCATTTTTCCTTGAAAGGATAAGTGTTTTGTAAGACAAAATGTATGCTACAGTTTTACAAATTGTGTTTTCTCTTATATAAAAAAGATATTAAAAAAATCAAAATCCCAATTTTATTACAATCTCAAAGAAATTCTGCACACATGACCTTGAAAACCAGAGAAAAGTTATTGTCTGTATGAGAATTTTGAAATAATTACCCGTATCCCCCTTTTAATTGCCTCCCAAAAGATTTTCGATAGAAACTGTATAATATCGTCGACAATAATGTGAAGAATTTGCGAGCACATATCCAATTTGCTGGACGTGTTAAACGTGGGTCCGTAGGCTTCCGCGGCCGGAGTCAATGTATTCTTGGCTATTCGGGACGAGCCGCGTCTCAGTTAATTGGACTGACGTTTAGGCCATCTTGCTGTGTCCTTCTTCAGAGTTATACAGCTGGCAGTATAGCAATACTGCAATACTGCTGGCAGTATAGCAATACTGCAATATTGCTGGCAGTATAGCAGTGTCTGTCGACCATCTTGCTGTGGCCTTCTGCAGAGCTATACAGCTGGCAGTATAGCAGTATAGCTCTAAAGAAGGCCACAGCAAGATGGCCGAAACGTCAGTCCAATTAACTGAGACGCGGCTCATTCCGGATAGCCAGGAATACGTGTTAACCGTTTCCTAATGCACTGGTCACGCAAAATTCAAACGATGCATCGCGGTCCCTTGTAACTCTCTCATTCCCTAAGTAGTGAAAGACAATTTGTTTTAAAAAAATCTGCATACACGTGCGTTCAATTACGATAAAATGGTCCCAGATACAAGATGTCGGTGGCGGCAGCGTATGCAGAAGGGCAGCAAGCGTAATGGCCGCCGCGACCAACCGGTCGCCAGCGCTTCAGAAGACAGGCGCCCGGCTAGCGGGTCGGTCGCTGGCGATAGGTTTTCTACAGAATGCAGTGCTCTGGTATCCCTACTCAGAAGTATGGGTGATCAGAAACATGTTCAGGGCAGCAGCGTAAGTTCCACAGGGACCGACGAGACCATGTTCGGGGGCCCGTGATATTTAAGTCCCCAAATTCAAAACGAAATAATAAGCCTTTTATCTGAAACTGTCCGACAAAATCATAGAAGAAATAAATGAAGGGCCGGTATTCCTATTGTAATGGGCACAACGCTAAACGTGTCTAAAGTTGACCAATTAAGTCAAATTTTACTACTTGTAACCATCAAGAAAAATTGGCGCGGCAAACTGATTTAACATAAAAATTGAATCTGGCATTGGGTTTAAGAAAGAAAAAGATTAATCATCACCAGGGTTGCATTGTGATATTGTAGAGCATAAAAGAACACGGCATTGATTTATCTAAATGTAGAGGTCGAGAATATGATGGCACAGCAGTTATGAGAAGATTTTACAATAGTGTTCAGAAAATTTAAAAAAAAGATGAAAACTGATGAAGTTGACAATTCATTGTTTGTGATGTGTGCTGCTCCTATTTTAAATATTCTGCTTAATGAAGCTATGGATGGGAAATTAAAAGTTTCGACATTTTACTGTTTACTGGAACGATTTTGTTTTCTTTGGTCGTAGTTAATCATTAAAACATATTACCAACCATGATGGATTTAGATAAAAAGAGAAATAATCTTATATTAAAACTTGGTCTAACAAGGTGGTCATTACGGAACAATTCCTTAATTGCTATAGATTACGATAGTTTAATATTTTGCAAGCTTCAACAAAAAATACATTTTCTAACAAATTATGTGATGTGAATAAAGCCTGTAATTTGCG